GACTTTGAATATTTTAATTGGAGTAACTTTAAGAATGAGCAGAAATCTTCAGATATCAGTTACTGTCTTCTAGTTACTCAAGAAGCTAAAAGTATGGCAGAGATAATATAAAATAACATATAACCAATAATCCTAACCCTTCATCGAAGCATATGAATAATAATTCTAAATAATATTATATTAGTATTAAATATCAAATATATAATATATTAAATATTATTCTAAATAATAATTATAAACATATACCTAATAATAATCTTAAGCACATGCCTAACACATATGAATAAATATATCATAAAGATAATTGTTTAAGAACTCACATAGATGCTTTATTTGCAATAATTTCAAACTGGAAATAACTAAAATTTCCATTAACTTGAGAATAAATTAACAAATTGAGCTATATTTATATAAAATAAAATAGAATGACTTTCTAATTTGTATAATAATGTGGGTTTTTCTTAAAACTATTATATTAAATAAAAAAAAACCAGATGCAGAAACTACTCACTTTATATTGTCAATAGATTTTCGGAAATGGCAACTTTAGCTGCAATTACTTATACTGAAAACAGATCTTTAAGTTACAGCTTATCCAATATAGACAGATTTGTATTTTTCCCTCCTCAACATTATAATAAAGATTGTGCTGTACAGAGAAAATATACTTTGTAATTCCATTTAAATGAAGTTCAAGAACTGGCAAAGCCAATAATAGATGAAGATAGAAATTAGAATAGTGCTTGACACTAGTGGGGGAAGTGATCATCAACCAAGAAGAGATAAATGTTTTCTGGACTGTTGAAAGTGTTTTCCATCTTGTTCAAGGTGATGATTACACAGAAGCATAAAAATGTACAAACTCATCAAACTGAACATTTAGAGCTTGTTTTACTCTATGTCAATTACTCTTTAACTGGAAGATTAGCACTTGGAAGTTTTTTCCTAAATTGGTAGTGGGGGCTCACTTATCAGTGATCAAAGACCACCGGGGCTACTCCCAGGGCTAGGCACCATGTGGTGCTTGGGATGAAACTGAGAGTCTCACACATCTAAGGCATTTACATTACCACTTGAGCCATGAACTCTTTTTTTCACACCACATTTTTTGTGGAGTTATATCCATGTTGATGTACCTAGGCCAACTTCATGATTTTTAACTGTATATATTTAAAAGAAAGATGACTGGTGCTCTATTGGAGTTTGGCCTGCTGATGTCATATGTTTAGATAGCAGTAACTTCTGCAACAAATAACTTCTCACATAAGCACAATTGTTTCATCACTGTGACCCCACAATCTGGGTGTCCTTCAAATGGGTGATTAATGGGCCAGGACCCCTTCCAGCTTGAGTTTTGTGGTTTCTGCCCAGCCCCTCAAGGTCTACTATCTCTTGCTTGAAATATAAGAGGAGAGAATATGTAATTGAGGATTTTCTTAATTTTCAGCTGGAGATGTGTAGGTTTTATTTTTCTGTCTTGTAATCAGCAGTTCTTACAGGGAGCAGAGACGTACCATGAATCCAGAACATACAGATTCAGGCCACACATAGTGTGCTTGTCCCAACACTATGTCTCCTGCATATAGGTAATCTGTGCCGTACAGAGCATAATTTTAGACAGTTTTAAAGAAGTCTCTCTGCCACAAGTGCTTAGATCTGAGCTTGAAAAAATTATTGGATTATGTCTTCACTTCCCCATACAAAAAATCATGTGCTTAGTAATATCAATTCACAGGATTCTGTATTTCAGATGTGTGAAATATGTAGGACAGTATCTGAAACAGCACATATTTAATAAATGTGAGCTATCATACTATCATGCTGACTTCTTGCTAACGCTGTGTCTGACTGTCAAAGTCACCTCCAATGTACCCAAAGCTTTAACCATTACAAAGGATCAAATTCTTTCCCCAGAACAACTTTCTGGTGAGAGTTAAACACAAATACATAAAGTTTAAAGTGTACACATGTAGTATATGTAGCTTCTAGAATGCACATATTAGTTTTGCAATATAAAATGTGGGATTTTGTTATTTTGCATATTATTTCAATGTCATTTAATTTGGGGGGCAGGGAGTGTTGAGAGGAGGTACACTCAAAGGTGCTCAGAAGCTATCAACTGGTTCTATGCTCAGCCTCACTCCTGGAGGTCCCGTGGGGACCATATGCAGTGCAGGAGATCAAACCGGGGTAGAATCAAATATTCTTATATTACACATAAAATTGGTACTGAATGGTTTGAAGAACAAATCCATGCTCACAAAAGAATTTTCAGTTTGCTAGAATAACTTTAAATAGCTAATAAAAATATCAGGATAATTCCAAGGACAGAATATGAAAGAAGAGAAATTATACTATATTTTGTACCTTTAGTAGAACTTTTACCTCTGATTTTTGAATAAAGGACCCTGCGCTTTCCTTTTGCATGGGGGCCTGCAAATAAGATAGTTAGCTCTCCTTTCCTTTTCTCTGATTTCCCCAAGAAGTTTTACCCAGTCACCTTATCAGGAAGTCTTACTTGAACCCCCAGCTATTTGGCTGCCTGCCAGCAATCACCTAGCAATAGACAATAAGTATATAAAGTTCAATACATATTATATATATACATATATATATCCCATTACACCTCTACTTTTAGAGTTAATTTTGAATATTTTATCTTCCCTAACAGTCTGTTTTCCCAAAGGACAGGGGCAGAGTTGGCATTTTTATCTGGTTGGCCATAGACCAGAATAACTAGGGCCCTCATGGCAAAAATAAATTCCAGGAACTAAAATGAACAGATAGAATTGGAATCTCCATGCTAGGTCATTTGGCTATAGAGCTAATTTGAAAACTAGTTAATGAATGAATGAAAGTATACTAATGGTTCTAATCCTTGGAATGGTACTTCTTCCAGTTATAACACTCCCTGGTAAAATCTGGTCCACACTTGATAAACTAGTTCAAGTGCCAAAATGACATTCATGGAAATCTACTATCTGCTTTTCCCTCCCCTCACCTGCATATTTATAACTCTCTGATCTCAAGTTCCTTCACAAGGCAATAATGTTCTTTGACACTGAGAAAATTCTAATTGGATGTTATTTCTCTGATTAGACTGGAAACATTGAGGACATAACTCAGATGAAGAAGATTAAGGTATTTATGTTGGGAGAAAAATGTAAGGAGAAATAACAAAGTAACTAAAATAAATAATATTTAACACAATATTTAAAACCTGGTGAATGGATGGGTATTGGGGTAAAAGAAAGAAAAACTCAAAGTCAATATAGCCATGATCCATAGTAATATATCAAAATTTTAAAGATTGGGTGTATTACTTGTACCATTGACCTCATTTGTTTTGGTCTAATTTAAGTCATCTTAACGTCTGTGCTTCATGCTTGTTGCCAAGCCTCATCCACAAGTGAATCTTTTCCTGGACAGCTGAGTCGCAAATGCGGCTGCATGACATTTCATAGGACACATCCTACCCATACTCCAAGAGTACAGCATAGCATTTGACGGCATTTAAAGTAGGAGGCAAAAAACCTTGGAGGGAAATATTATATTATTTTGGTTCTGCTTTGGGGGAGGGATTGGGGTTTGGCATGGAAACACCTGAAATATGGTGGTAGGAAGGTGTAGTGGTGTGGGATTGGTGTTCGAATATTAAATGTAATCAAATATTGTGAACTACTTTATAAAACGAAAATTTTTTTAAAGTTTGTGGTTTATCATCTTCCCACAACTGATGCTCAATGAATGAATATGTGAATGAATTGTTTTCTTCAATCACTTTGAAGATTACAGGTCTTGTAAGGAGGATGGCTATGGTGGGGTGTGAGCCCGGGGCATGAAAACAGTCTTTGTGTGTCCCCTTAAATTAGCAGAATTGGAACATAGACACATATACTTCAAAGTCTGATTGTTATTTTCTATCTTCTACCAGGTTATCATAAAATTTTCCTCCATTGTCCTTCCTCCACACAGCTAGAAAATAGAGTCAAATTGTCTTGAGAATCCACTTCTACCATCATGCAATCTGCAAGATAGTCCTCAGGAGACCAATTCAATTTCAGTGACAATATTAAAAATAATACAATGAATAATAAGGTGTTTAATAACACTGCAGCAAAGTTGCCCTTCCCCATAGTTATACATCTTTTTACCAAGAGTGCTTCTGAATTGTTTGACAAGATGTTTACTAAATGCTTTAATGGTCTATTTTGAAGTTTGTTGGTCAAAATAGAAAAGAAAAAGCCATTTGAACAAAGAGAAGCAATGTTTTTTTTTTTGTGACATTTAGTTGTTGGTATGATTTTTGCTTCTTAAGAAAGAAATCAGCTCCAAGTAATACTCCAAAAAAAAAAAAAAAAGGATTGACTATTTCAGTGGGCTTGAACGCCTGTCATTCACCTTTGTGAAGGAACCTGAGCTAAACCACCCTAGACCCAATCTTCCCTTATCTATTGTGGGCTATGAGGACAGGATTTTTTCCCCAGTGGCCAGTTTTGTCACCCTCAGTTAGCCACCAGGGGGCCGCCTATTTGGAACAAACGCCACTGCTTTCCTCCAAACCAACCAAAACATCCCGGGGCAGCTTTGGAGCTGAGCCCAGGAACTTCCCTGCAGAGAACTTGTCTCCTGCAACAAATCCTGCAAGTTCGGTGCAGCCATAATACGGGGAAGAATAAAGCCCAGTTTCACGCTCTAGGACAGAGGGAAATTGGATCGCTGTATTCGAGGTGAGAGAGGCCACCTCCCGGGAGCTGGGGTGGGGGGGTGGGGGTGGGGGTCTCCAACTTTCTTCCCCAAAGTGTGGAAACGCAGCATCCAGGCTCCGGGAAGAGCTTCCGAGTTCTTGACAGTTGTGGTTGCTAATGCTCTCAGCAGGAGGGGTGGCTTCTCGCCCCATTCCGTGGGATGCTTCCAAGAAGCTGGAATAAAACACACGTCACAGACTGGAGAGCTAGAAAACTCTCAATAAACATCTCCGTGCGGTTCAGTCCGGAGGATCGACGTGTCTCTAACCCCCCTGCATGCCATAGGAATAAACGTGTAGACTGAATCATGAATCTGAGTGGTTCTAATACAAGAAAATAATTCCACTCAATCATCAAAAGAGTTTGGTGGCAACTCTACCTTCATGCCAACTACATTTTAGGCTTTTTTTTTTTTTTTTTGGATACTCGGTATTTTTCCAAGCATTCTTCTAGCCCGGAACGCCGCCGCCTTGCTTCGTTTTCTCGCTGTCTGAACCCTCGGCCTTCAGGACTTGAGGTAGGGGTAGGGGAGTTTTAGCAGCCCCCGTGCAGCGGGGCGGATCTCCCCGCGAGTGTCAACGGTTTCTTGCGTTCCGGGCTGAATTTGTGACGAACCCAGCCAAAGCAATAGATATAGGGCTGCCCATGGGAACCTGCTGAGGGTTCCATCCCCGCACCCATCGCTCCGGAGACGGAGGTTGGAGTGAAGGAGAGGTGTAAGGGAAGGGGGACGGGGGGGGGGGACTCCCTTAAAGGCTAGGCAGGTGTTTTTTCAAACTTCCGCGGGGGGGTATGTGGGATGGGGCGGGGTGAAAGAGAGGTCAGGGGGGTCCCTCGGGTGGAGCAGCCACGGCAGGGTCGCCCCCCACGCGCCACAAGTGGTTGGGGAGGAAGAGCATAGAGCGCGGCCCCGGGGCGCGCTAGGAGAACCCCACGTTTCTCAAAGTCCCCTCCCCCCCCGCGCCCCTTCCAACTATGGGGACCCCCAGCCCGGACGCGGACCCCCGAGCGCACCGAGCCGGGTGGGAGGGCGCGCCGCGGCGGCTGGCAGGGCACGGCCGCCACCGGGTGGAGGGGAGCGCCCCAACCTGGCCGGGCAGGTGCGGGGGCGGCCGGCCCGGGGCGGCCAGTGCGGCGGGCCGGGGATCGGGGCCCGTGACCCCGCAGGAACCGGCCCAGGAGCGCGGCCACCGGGGGGGCTCCGGCCCGGGGTGCAGGGGACCGAGGAACGGGGGTGGCCGACCCGGGCGGTGGCGGCGGCGGCCCGGGAGGCCATTTCCTCGCGGCGCCCCGGGCGGAGTCGGCTTTGCCCGCTCAGGGCGGCCGCGGCCCCGCGGGTCGGACGGCCGGGAGGGCTGGCGGGGGAACTGGGGAAACCGGGTCACCAGTTCGCCGGCGTGGCCGCGCGCGCGGCACCCCCGGAGTGGGGGGAGGTGGAAAGGGAGGAACGGGGGGGTCCCGGAGTCCCGCGGGCGGAGCCGATCGAGCCCTCGCGGGGGGCCCCGGGAGCAGCTGGCACGGAGACGGCCGGGCCCCCGCGCCGCTTCCCCGGCCTGGAAAAGTGCAGTGACGACCCGGGCGGCGGCGCCTTGACATCTGGCCGGCTCGGCGCTCGCGGGGTCCCTGGCTCCGGGAGGAGGGGGCGGAGGAGGGTGGAGACTGCGGGGCTGGGCAGAGCTCGGCTGCGTGACGCGGCGGGATTAAGTTTGCATGAATAATGTGAGTGCGCCCGCCGGGAGACCTCCAAGCGCCCCGGGCTCGGGGCGAGCGCCCGCGCGCGCCAGCCGGCAGGCTCCCGGGCACCGGTAATCGGGCGCGAGGAGCGCGCGGAGGCGGGGGCCGGGGTGCGGGGTGGGGAGGGGCTGGGGTGCCGCCGCCCACGGGCTCCGGGAGCTGGGGTGTTGCGGGAAGTCGAGGGGTGCCGCCGAGCGCGCGGGCGGGCGGGCGTGGGTGGAGAAGGGGTGGGGGGGTGTCAGCCGCCCCATTACCTGCCTCCGCCCCGGGGAGGTTGGGGGTGCGCCCCGGCTTGGAGAGGTGGTGCCAGACCGATCTCGGGCGCGGTGCAGCGCGGCGGCCGACGGGGAGCCCCGGTGTGGGCAGCGGCCGAACCAGGGTGGCCCGATTCCCCCGCGAGCGCCGCGCCCCGGGGACCGCCAACACCCCCCCTCTCCCCAGCCCAGCTGTTGACAGGCGCCTTGGGAAATGGAGTTTGGCATCCTCGGCGCCGAACCGAGTGGAAGTTTCCATGATGAGGAAGTTCTGTGACACCGGGGTTCGGAAAAGGTTGGCAGACACGGGGGAGGGGAGGGAGGCGGTTTAAAGGGACTCCGGGTGCTCCCCCCACCCCGGTCCCACCCCCGCCCCTGTTTTGGTCTCCCGGCCCCGGAACCCCGGGCTTTTGAAAAGGAGATTAACCCCGAAGGTTGGCGGGCCCAGCGGCCGGTGCCTGGAGACTGGGCTGTCGCCCGCCTCCCTGGGAATCGGGGCGACCTCGCGGTGTCCAGCCTGGCTCGAGCCTCTCGGCTCCACTTCGCTTGACGCAGCATCTTCCTCGCGGCCGCTGGAGTTGGTTCTGACACCAGAAGTTGTGCGAGCTGCGCGCTTCCCCTCAAGGAGGACGCTTTGGGGGAGGAGAGTTGGATTCCGGGGGAGGGGCGGGAGGAGGGGGGATTTCGTCCTTTTTTGCAAGGGTCCTTTGGGAGGCGGATTTCCTGCTGAACATCGTGGGATTATTAGGGTGCTCATTCTTAAAACACGGAGTTTATTTTTAGAGTGGGTGGGGAATGGGCAATGAGTGCTTTTTTATGTATTAAAGGTTAAATATATAATACACCCCCCCGTGGGAACATTGAAAGGAAATGTCTAGAAGCATCAAGTGTAAGGTGAGGCAAAGGAGAAAAAGAGTTTACCTGAACTTCAACAATCCAGACTTTTTCGTCTTCCCTCTTCACACATAGAATTTGCAAAGGTTTATTTTATCTGTATCTACTTTTGAAACAAAGTCTTCCAGTTACGTTATTGGTCTTAAAGGCTAATGGGATTCACTTTTCAAAGCCTCTCTTGAAGTTAAAAAAAAAAAAAGACATTCCTTGGATAGTAATATCAGTACAGCATTTATTTATGATGCCAAATGTATTGGGTTGTATAGACCTGCTATACAATGTCTTTACATTATTTGACTTAGTATGTGTACTTACATTTTAATCATTCATACCCTGCTCTGGATTATAAAGTAATAAACATTGCTTCTTAGTCAATATTTCCCATGGTTCTTTATGAATATTCACTTCTCCAGTGACTAATCTGCTCACTTTTGCTTACTTCTCTTGTTCTGAAACTAGTCAAAGACTAGGAAACAATAAAGACAAAAGGTGGTTTGATGAAAAGTGCCTTGAACCCTTAACAATTTTAGGGGAGTATATGCTAAGTGTTTTAATTGACTCTACAAAATTTCAGTAGTCTTTGGTTTCTTTGGAATATTACATGGAAAGGTAGAGTGAACAACCATTCATTATTCACATTAAATAGGAGACTAGCAGGATCTTATGTTTAAAGAATTTCAAAGATTTATTGTATGTTTTAAGTGGGGCCATGTTCTAGTAAAACCAATTTGCTTTTATTTTTCACTGAAAGGAAGTAGATGATAGAGAATATAGACGTAGTGCTGTTTCCTTAAAAAACAGACATAGGACTGTTTTCTGCAAAGAAATAATTTTATTGATATTGGAATATAGCTTAATAATGTCATTGCATTTACAAGAGGAATATGCATCCCATCTTTTCTCTCTTTGATTCTTTGTAATAAATTTTGCAATAGAAATAAATTAAGACAGGTTTCTTTCAAATCAACATTTTTAGGGAAGGACAATTTCTTCAAATTTCCTTAAAAGTTGAAAAGTTGTGGATTACTTTCCATTTTCTGTTATTTATTGTTTGTTTTTGCATTTGTTTAAAGAGTATAATGTGTGAAGTAACCAGGTTTTTTTTTTGTTTTGCTTTTAGTAAAGTCTTTTGGATAGAAGTCTGAAAATTGAAGTAAAGCTCTTATAGCCTCTGTTATTCTATTGTAAGATTATGTGTCACCTTCTTAAAAGCCCTTCCCAGAATACTCAGGCAAAGACACTCCTCCATTCCTTCTTAGAATCATCACATTCTTACCTGTTAACTTTTTTCATCCTATTTATAATATGAATCATTCATTTCAGTTGCCATTTGTTAGTTATCTGTTTCCCTGTCTAGAATTTTTATTGAAGTGAGAAAATCTTGACTCTTGAAAATCTTGAAAAAATTCACTTTTGCACATTTTGACCAGAGCTTGGCACACATGAGGTGTGGGACAAAGCTTTGTTGAATACATATACGTTTGTGTCCAGTATACTTAGTAGCTATCAATTGGCAAATTGCTATGCCAGTCTCTCTCTCTCTCTCTCTCTCTCTCTCTCTCTCTCTCTCTCTCTCTCTCTCTCTTCTCTCTCTCTCTCTCTGAGTGTGTGTGTGTGTGTGTGTGTGTTGGCAAGGAAGTTATTTCTGCAAGTTCCTCTTGAGGCATTTGCCTTCAATACACAGAAATCCTCAGCACCAGATCTTCTTACATATTAAGGCACTTTTGCTATCCTGATTCCTTGAAGAAATTAACATTTAACTCCCTTGTTTTTAGCAATGTCTTTATGAGTTCCAGAGGCATTGTCAGTGCTTAGAGTGAAATTCCAGGGAAAGATAGCACTGGGTGATAGCAATACCTTCTCACTCGATAGCTTTTGGCAATGCCTCTGGCTTTAGCAGTCATAAGAATACTAAGGGTATGTGGTGGTATAGCTGTACACCAGAGGTGTTTTTGAAAGAGGTAAAATAGACATGTTGGGATCCAGTAAAAGTTAGAAATAGCCTATGGTAGCTAGAGAGAGAAGATACAGAGGGGAAAGCACTTGCTTTGTATGCACTTGACCTAGATTTGATCCCTGGCACCACATATGTGCCCTTCACACCTCCAGGAGTGATCCCTATGTACAGAGCCAGAGTAAGCTTAAGCACAGTTGGGTGTGTCCCAAACACACACACACACACACACACACACACACACACACACACACACACACACACAAAAGAAAAGAAAAGAAAAGAAATAGCTCAATGTAATAGAGTTTGTGATATTATGGTTGTTACCCTGTATTGTAAGTTTACTTTGTCATCCTCTCCCCATTACCTTCCCCCTTTTTTTTCATTTCCACAGTTTCTGAATCCGATAATTCCATTATCTGAGTTTTCAGGTGACCTGAGATGTGATACCCCAGGGGTCAACTTCAAATGAGCTATTCATGGAAACTTTTTTGACAGTTGAGGTGGAAAAAAATTATAATTCCTGATTATGGTAATTTGTTCTGTTTATAGAGCCTTGTCTTTCAGAAATGAGTACATCAATATATAGTAAAAATTCCACAAAATATCTATCAAGACTGGTGAAAATGGTAGAGCAAGAAAGTTAAAAATCATCTAGAGGAGTACTGATAATTAAATTGG